CCCCCCCCTTTTTATCCGATACCTTAGAGTAGCATATCCTAAACAGCATCGTTTTTCAGCACTTGCAGCACAACAAGGGAACATAAGTGAGGCGTTATAATTAATATTAGAGAGCATTAAATACAAAAAAGGAGGATAGATAAGGATGATAGATGTTTAATTTGATAGAAAGAGCAAACCAAACCACAGCACCCTGAAACCACCGGCTCGTTCGACTTTAGACCTTGTCCTAACCAAGGTACAGATGCTCTTCTCATAATGACGACTGGGGCAGCAAAATAACAGTGATGTTTTCACCAGGTGGCCCAAGAGTCTAGATCAAGATCTAGTCTGAAAGGACTACTGCATTACCAATACAATCCAGGTCCATAGAAGGTCAACCGAAGTCTCTCAGAATGGTGGGGGTGGGGTGATGCAACAGGGGGCATAACTCGCCGACAGTATAGAATTGGGAACGCGTTTTGACGTATTAACATTTATTAGTCATTAGGTCACGAAGTCCGTTCGATGTTTATCTACAACAGGGAGTTTAGTTTTAGAAAGAGTTTTACGGCACTTGCAACACAATAAGTTACAACAGAAAAAAGCACCGTGGCATAATAATAATACTAACAACTATCCCTGACTCGATACCCCCCCCCCTTTCCCCCAACCTAAACAAACTCCAGTAACTAATACACAATTAATACACCTTAAAATTCAGTGATCGTACACACAGTCAAAATCTGTGCTCCCAACATTAATCATCAGAACATACACAGCTCGAAACGCGACGAACATCGCAAACAGCCGACCTCCAACCACCACATTTCTCACGAGGCACACGAAACACTACAACAAGAAGGAAATCGCTCCCACCACCGCTAGACTAGGCCTCTCGTTGGTTCAGGTTAAGAGCACGCAGCTAGGAGGAAGGAAGGAAGGCAGGCAAGGCACGCATCACACACAACAACATTCCTACAGCCTGGCCTGCCCCGGGCGCCCCAGCAACAACACACAGCGGGCGGCGGAGGGGCGTGTCGAAAACGCGAGAGAGGAAGGAAATCCTCCCACATAAGTAAGCTGGGCTTTTACCACTGTCCACGGTTGTTTTTGTGAAAAGTTAGGCTAAGAATCTCTTATTGTTGTTGTAATAATACACTGACAATGTGAAGGAGCGGCTGACAGGCCAATCACTGAACCAGCACACATTTCCTACACGAGCAGAGCCCATCTACACTGACAGGGGCCGAGTCACGGACCTAACAGGCGCTGTTTATTAAGTCCTCGAAATCATTAGGAAATGCTCCACCATTCAAAAACGTTAAGGTGCCAGGTTCAAATCCTACTCTGGTCTCGTGACAGGGACCACAAAGGGAGAAGGCTGACGCCCCGACGCTGTAGAAAGAGGCAGAAAGCCACCACCATATGGTACCTATTTCATGACGGCCAACACACACACACCACACACAGTGATGATAATCCGAGGCCGTTGGCGTCATCCGCGTGACGGAGCCCACTGGGGCGGGCGGGACGCGGACGGGGGGAGCGAGATACGTGCGCTGGGGGAGGAGGACGTGAGAGTGGAAGAGAGAGAGAGAGAGAGAGAGAGAGAGGATAGAAGGGGGAAAGAATAGCACACGTGTAGCATCGCTCACATCATCATCATGACCTGCCGGGCCAACAGGGAATCGATATCGCCTTTACCTGGTTCGATATTGAACTTTCCCGAGGTTTCACCCCGACCTTCCCCGCGAGGGGGGGGGGGAGAAATAACCATTATAAACGCAAAGCCTGACGCAGCAAAAGCTTCAGTTTAAGAACAGCGTCAGGTATTTAAATCAGGCTTGATGCTGACTTCATGTTATTGGCACAGGATAGGTAAGGAGAGTAAGCAGACAACCGCTACAGCTCTGTGGGAACAAATGAGTAACACAGACAGGTGGGCAATGAGCAAAGCGACACACAAGCTCCGGTCAACCACTTTCGTGACGTACATATTGACCCCCATCGTACTTCACAAAGGCCACTCCACTACTACACATTTATGAGCACACACCCGCCGAGACAAGAACACTCTATTGTCTCGTCGATATCTGCTCACACTTCGACCCATATAATGACCCCTCGCTGGGAGGAAGCTTACGTCCCAAGAGAGCTCACAGCACGTGCACAAGTTTTTATGTTATTTTAGTATAATAAGGAAACAAACATTGGAATGACAGGAGCCAATTTATGCAGATAAAAACATACCGATGCAGAAACACTGGGGAAGAAAAGAAAAGAGCAGGGCCCTCTCGATGTTTTTTGGTGTGTTTTTGGTTGTTGTTTTTTTTGGGGGGGGGGGGGGGCAAATGAAATCGACCAGCGCTTCAGCCAATAAAATTGACAAAAGTTTTTCAGCCATTGAAATCGACCAAACCGACAAAAATAGGTATAAGTTCACCGACATTGATCTAATTAATGAGCCGACGCATCTGGTACCGCGTTCGCACACCCAAAAGTTTACAGGACGAAGCCCCACCCCTCAGAGCAGGGTAATCATACCAGGTACATCTACCCGGAGGCATTTGTCGAGGACAGAGAAAGAATTGATGCGTCAGGCAACAGGCATTATCTCAAATAACTGCGGAAAGTAGAAGAAGAAATATGAAAAAAAGGCGGATAAGTAGAAATGACGGTGGTGGGGGGT